TTTCTTGTCTTCCAGGAGTCAGAGGAGAATGGGAAAGGGCTTCACACTTCAGTGTTTTTAACTAATTGTTAGCCAGAGGATGATACTAACCTCCTGAGCTAATAGGCAGGTACCAGCACTTGGAAAGAAGCTCAGCATGTCTCTAGCTGCTGGAATGGGATTGGTGCCCGAGGCGGGTGTGGTTCAGGCATCAACTTTTTGTATTAGCTTCCTCCTAGACATCTGGGCTACGTCTACACTGGCCCCTTTTCCGGAAGGGGCATGTAAATTTCATGAGTCGTAGTAGGGAAATGCGCGGGGGATTTAAATATCCCCCGTGGCATTTAAATAAAAATGTCCGCCGCTTTTTTCCGGCTTTTAAAAAAGCCGGAAAAGAGCGTCTACACTGGCCCCGATCCTCCGGAAAAAGTGCCCTTTTCCGGAGGCTCTTATTCCTACTTCAAAGTAGGAATTCCTTCAAAGTAGGAATAAGAGCCTCCGGAAAAGGGCACTTTTTCCGGAGGATCGGGGCCAGTGTAGACGCTCTTTTCCGGCTTTTTTAAAAGCCGGAAAAAAGCGGCGGACATTTTTATTTAAATGCCGCGGGGGATATTTAAATCCCCCGCGCATTTCCCTACTACGACTCATGAAATTTAGATGCCCCTTCCGGAAAAGGGGCCAGTGTAGACGAGCCCCTGGTGTCTATAAACCCTTGTAAGATATTTGGAAATTCTTGGAAGGATTGAAATTGCTCTCTATTTACAGATATTAATTATTACTGTCACCCTTAATTCTGGAAATAATCTCAGAAATCCTTGACCTTTTGCTATCTTTATTCACTAGATCGTCATTTGCTGCAGCCGCAGAATCTAATGAGTCCCTTAAGAAATTTCACAAAACACAATTGAGACACTTGCTAAGGAACAGAGTCAGCAAGATTCATTTACAGCTATCACTCACCCCTTTGTTGTTATCTGCAGTCTCAGCATTAATCATTATGAGTCAGAGCATTTTGGTACCAGTTTCCAACTTGCCTAACAAAAAGTGACCGGTTTCATTTTCCAAAAATGTCGTTAGTGTGTTCAGTGCTGTTTCAACTTATATGGTTATTACACAAATCCTTAACAACAGTGGGTAACTTTTGTTAGTGTAGTAGACAAGGTTTTTATGTCCCTCCAGTGCAGAATACATTCTGATTCTTTTTAATGGCTATCATACAAGACACATTACCTTAACATAGCTTTTGACAGTGTTCTAATACTTAGTACAATGCTTATGTAAAAAGCAGTTAAAGAAATAAAAGTGAATATCTCTCAGTGCTGTGGTTTTCTCTTGACCTGGGGAGAGTTAGGTTGATGGTTTAATTGGCATGTTTATTTCCTATGAAATGTGCCAATTAGAAGGATTTTGCTGGGCCTTAGTTAACCATAGGTTATGGACTAGCAGGCAGCACCTCAAGATCAGCGCTTTGAAATTCACTCAACCAGTCCTAGAGATGTTCAGGAATTAAAAATTTCCCCTGCGGTTTGTCAATATTGTGTGTTTTGTTTGATGTGACAGGAAATGTCCCTTCTTGTCCTGGTTTTGAGTTATTTGGGATAGGGATTCAAGCAACTAGTCGACTATCTGATAAGCATTTGCTATTTGTGCATTTGGACTATTTGTGCATTTCCTTATTGGCTAGTCGACTAGTGACTTGACTAGTAACTCCTCCTCCCCCCCCCTTGCTGCTTAAAAGCACGGTCTCCGTGGGGAGAAGGAGCAAAGACTCGGCAGGGAACTGGAAGCCTGGGGCGAGCTGGGGACTCAAATAATCCCCCACTGGCCGCACGCTCCCTGCTTTTGAAATGTACCAGAGCCCTTCTCCCCCTCCCCCCCCCCAGCGCTGCTTGAGTCCCCCGCTGACTGTGCTCCCTGTGGCACTTCCTTCCGCCTTTTAAATGTAGTAAGAGCCATAAGGGCTCTTGCTACATTTCAAAGGCAGAGGCACCCTTATTGACAAATTAAAAAGTCAATGCAAATTACATCGACTATTTGATTAGTTGATTAATCAAAATTTAACATCCTTAATTTGGGAGATGGTAGATCACCATTAGGTAACATAAATAGTCTTGTATTGGTATGATGACTGTTCGGTTGTGTTCATTGGTTGTGCCACAATCAGTCTGAAGGTGCTGGTTACCTCATATCCATCATTTCAGCTCAGCTTGGGTTGTCACTTGTGGTTGTATGTGCTGTGGAAATAACACTGCTCCAGCTGATGCCACAAAGGGGTTCTTTAGTCTGCTTTACTGCATGTGAATGAGAAGAATAGATTAAACTTGATATTTTTCTTGAGCTTGTAAGATTCACTGAGTTGTGGGAGTTCAACACCAATTCAGTCTACTGTTCACATTGTCACATTTGCAAGAACAATATGGTTGATTTCTAGATACAAATATAGAAATAGGTGACGATTCGATGAAACTGCAGTAGTCACAAGTATAATTACAAACTGAAGGGATGCTAGACCATGACATTTATTGCTGAACTACATAGGCTTCATGCTTGCTGTCAGTAGATACTTCCTTCCATTTCTCCTTTACCAAGGGTCAGAGGCTGATTAAATAGGTTTATGCTGTTAAGGTGGTGGGCCTGCTCCTTAAAATTAACTCTCAAATGTCTGCAATAGATGATTGCCTCAGTTTTCTTGAGCCAATGGCTAGATCAGTGTTTCCTATCCAGGGTTCTGCGAGAAATCGTGGAATAAATAAATAAATAAAAATTTTGAAATACCACAAACAATTCCAAATATCCCTCGAAATATCGCAGGAATTTTTTTCTGGCAATTGGCAATACTGGAGTAATCTTCGTACACTACCAACTGCCTCTTTGTTTTGTTTTGGTCAGTTCGTGTCTAAGGTTATATTTAGTTGTATTGTGCCTGCCCTTCTGCTTCCCAGAATTCTCTGCGTTTAGCAGTAATTGAATTGTGCTCCCCGCAGTCAACTTTTTCTGACCAAGCAAACGTTTTCATAGGTAGGGGTTACTCGGGACATGAAAAATTATTTTAGGGGTTTCTCCATGTGAAAAAGGTTGGGAATCACTGGGCTAGATAGTATATTTAGCATCACCACAGCTGTAAAAGATGGACTTGCTCCATCCCAGCCTCCCTCATGTCCACCCCTTCTTTCAAGCCTTCTCCCAGCACCTCCTGTCCCCTCTCTAGCCTCCAATGCCTTTACCCTCTCCCCTCCCAGCATCACTCTGTCCCTCTCCCACTGACACCTCCCCTCCTGCCTTTTTTCTCATTGTCTGCACTTGGCCCCCTGGCATTTGTCTCTCCTCTACCCTGTCCTTTTGGTGCCTTCCTCTCCCCTCCCCCTCCACACAAGCCCCTTCCTTTCCCAGCCCTTCCCCTTCCCCCTGCCTTCCACTTTGTGGGGCCAGAGTTTGCACTCCGTCCCCGGACTCCAAACCCGCAACACAGCCATACGGCGCAACGCAGCACCCAGCAGTTTTAAAATCCCGGGCCGTGACATTACGTCACACCCGGGAATCTCCCCGCCTACCAGTATGTGCAGGGCAGCAGCAGCCAGCAAGGAGAAGCTCAGTGAAGGTTGTGCACGGCGGGGACGGGCACGGGGACAGGGGAGAGATGCTCTGGGACCGGGGTGAGAGGACGCGTGGGGGGGGGCCGGGGCCCGCTCCAGATCCAAATATTGGTGGAGCATGGGCACCATGAGCCCATACAACTCGCTGCCCATGCCTCTGCTGGCTAGCCGGCTCTCTCTCTTTCAGAGGGGGTGGGGGAGTGCCAGCTCCTCGCGGAACCCCTAGTTTTGCTTCGCTGAACCCCAGGGTTCCCCGGAGCACCAATTGGGAAACACTGGTCTAGACAGTACTGGGTCCTGCCGTGAGGGCAGGGTACTGGATTCAATGACCTCTCGAGGTCCCTTCCAGTCCTAGTATTCTATGATTCTCCCTTATCCACAAGGCTTGATATCTTATCACAGAAAACTATCAGATTGTTTTGACATGATTTGTTCTTTACAAATCCATGCTGGCTGTTACCTATCACCTTATTTTCTTTCGGATAAATTCCTTAATTACTTGATCCATTATCTTCCCTGGCACAGAAGTTAAACTGACGGGTCTGTAGTTCCCTGGGTTGTTCTCATTTCCCTTTTTATAGATGGGCACTAGATTTGCCCTTTTCCAGTCTTCTGGTACCTCTCGTGACCATAATTTTTCAAAGGTAATAACTAAAGGCTCAGATACCTCCTCTATCTGCTCCTTGAGTATTCGAGGACGCATTTCATCAGGCCCTGGTTTCTTGAAGACATCTAACTTTTCTAAGTAATTTTTAACTTGTTCTTTTTTTATTTTAACTTCTAACCCTACCCCGGTCCCACTAGCATTCACTATGTTAGGCATCCCGTCACCATCGATCTTCTTGACAAAAACTGAAACAAAGAAGTCAATAAGCACCTCTGCTATTTCCAAGTTTCCTGTTATTGTTTCTCTCTTTTCACTGAGCATTGGGCCTGCTCTGTCCTTGGCCTTCCTGTTGCTTCTAATATATTTGTAGAATGTCTTCTTGTTACCCTTTATGTCTCTAGCTAGATTGAGCTCGTTTTTTGCCTTCACCTTTCTAATCTGGCCCCTGCATACTTGTGTTGTTTGCTTATATTCATCCTTTGTAATTTGACCTAATTTCCACTTTTGATATGACTCCTTTTTGATTTTTAAATCATGTTAGATCTCCCAGTCGATGCAAGGTGGTCTCTTGCCATACTTTCTATCTTTCTTACACAGTGGTATGGTTTGCTTTTGGGCCCTTAATAATGTCCCTTTGAAAACAACTGTCTCTTCAGTTGTTTTTCCTTGTAGTCTTTTCCATGGGACCGTACCTCTCTGAGTTTACTAAAATCTATCTTAAGAGAAATTATACTATGTTTCTGTAATAGCATCCTCACCTAGGACTTTGTCTGTTCCCAACTTAAAGTGCTGTTGTGGCGGTGCTTGAACCTGGCAATGTGGCCACATCACCAGTGCTGGGTGATTTCAACTAAATCACCTCCACAAGGAGCCTGTTGACATCGCTGATGTTTTACAGCATTGTAACTTGCTGTGCTGGGCGCGTGTGTGTGTGTGTGCGTGCATGTGCGTGTGTGTGTGTTTTTCAAAACCAAATTCATTTACAAGTTTGACACCTATAATCAAGGTTTCAACAAAGACCTGACCTTTATGGGGTGCTACATTCCACACCCTAATGACATAAAAAGCTAAGCACTGGGCATTTACAGCCCACTCAGCCTCAGTTAGCACAGATACTATAATTGATAATATTTTTTCAAATTCCCCCCCTTCCCTTTCCCTCCGCATTCCCTCTCTTTCTCTGCTATTTATTTCTACCCCGAACCTCTTACTCGTCATCTAAAGAAGTGGGCTATGCCCACGAAAGCTCATGATACCATCTACATTTTTTGTTCATCCCTAAGGTGCTGCAGAACTATTTGTTGTTTTTTAAGTATTAAACTAAGCGTATGCTCAGACTGCAGTAGATACTGGAGACTGGAAACAGAGGCTGTCTTTGTTATGTAATACTCCAGTTGGTGGTGCAATATGCACCTAGTTTTCCCATTGCTGCTTCACTGCGATAGTGGATTGGTAGATCAGCTCAGACCAAACATGCTTTTCTGACTTGGAAATGTGAGATTTGCGCAGGGAGGGGACATTGAAGAGGTCTCATTTGTTCTGTAAATACCACAGAATGGAAATCTGTTCAAATCTATTTGAACATCATAACTTTTGGTGCACTCTTTTTTGTTACGCTTTTTAATATTTGAGATCTAGGAACACATTGATTATTCACTGAGGAATTAGCATTTCAACATTTTGATGTGAAGTTGGATTCAGATTTTTATTATAATTAAGAAAAATTACACTGTTGAGTCTGTGTGGCTAAGGTTGTTTAGGAAAGAACATGTGCCTTTTTAAAACAGAATTTTCATCAGTTTACTTGCTAAGACTTCATAGAAACTTGTATCAAAATAATAAAGCTCACTTTTAAATTAAAATAAATTATTTACTCATGCAACTGATAAGGTCCTTCTTTAGTGCAGAGAGGAGCCTTACAATGTTTGTCTGTTCAAAGGATTTGTATAGAATCATTCTGGCTGCAAACACTAGCTGTATTTTGGTTCAGCATCTTCTTTTAACTCTCATCTTCTGCTTGCTGTATTCTCCCATCTGTGAAATTACTAAGGCCCTTGCAAAACCTAAGCAATTTTGTTGTGTATGTATATGTGTTTAGTGTGCTATGGTTGTTCATGTTGCTTTCAAACATATTGTTTGGATTTTTCTAGTTCTGCCTATTGATTGTGCTGTTCTTCCCTCTTAACAGTGACTGTGTTCTTAAGCACTTTGACTCCAAAATTCTACGTTGCACTTACAGGGACTTCATCTCTTATATCTGGACTGATATTTGTAAGTAGAATCCTCTTCTCACTAGAGCTTTTGCATGTCTCTTGTTAAAGTGAGGATGGAAGAAACCCTCCTGTTCTCTGACCAGTCTCTAGGTGGTGTCCTTATACTGTAAAAGAAACTAAGACTCTTCAGTAGTTTCTATCCATTGTTACCTGAACAGTGCATAGCTATGTTCCCACACCAACCTTAACTCTAGATTTCCTGAAGCTTGTGCCAATAGAATCTCAACCTTCAATATTGCATATAATTTCCTTTGTTTTAAATAGGAAAAACTCAGTTCCTTTCCCAATGGATATTTTGCATCACAAAACCACTGCCACAACTGGCTTTTCTCTCATTGGCAGTCAATGCAGCCAGACCACAAAGACCAGTCACCTCTATCACTGTTGGAGGTGGTCCCTCCAAGCCATAGGTGAAATACTGGTGATGCAGTGTGCAGCAAAGACACATTGCAAGTGATGTTTGGACAAATTGCTTGGAGAGTGAAATCCTTTTTGGATGTTTCACTGGCGCTAAATCCACTAAAAAGTTACTTAAAAAGAGAGGTTGGTGGGGGGAGAGGGCTTGGGTTATAAAAGAAATGACTCTTGCTGAATTCTGGTAGGTCTGTGTGGGCAGGTCTGGTTGCAGGATTAAGGCCTTTTGGAACATTCTTTCACTGTTAGACATCACACACTGCTAGCAGAATAAGCCAAAGCTGTATTTAGAGGACATTTTTTTGTGGCTAAAGTTAAAAGAAAAGAAACATATTTTTTATGTGAAGGAAACAATTTGTTTACCATAGCTGCAGGAAGAATGTTGTTTGTGAGTAATGAATGGAGGGTTTGGGAGGCTGATTAAGAAGGAGGTGGATGTTGTTTGCCTTAGTCATTTTACATAATTAAGATACAGAAAAACCCCCGCTTTAAAGAAAAAAAGTGGATTTTGTTGACATTTAAAATGGATGCGTTATTGCAACATTTCACAATGACTTATCTCTTAATGTTGATGGAAATACCCAGATGAGTGGTTCTAGAGTGGTCCTTAACTCCAGTGTCTAGAATTTGATACATAAATGCCTCATAAGGCCTAAAGAAGGAAATAGTTTTAAAAAAACACTCTTGACCTTAAACTTGTCATAAATGAACTAAATAGATTCCCTTTCTGAAGACATACATGCTGTCGAAAAAGCAGATTGCAGGTAATACAAAATGGGCATGAGGTGGATTTGAAAGAATGAAACCCAAAGTTAGGCCCACTCATGTAATCCTTACTTCCAAGGGTAAGTCCTCTTGACTGTGCTAAATTAAGGGCTGCAGACACCTTGTTTGTTAACATTGCTTCAGAAGTTAGTATGCTTTTATGGATGATAATACATTATTTGGCTAAAATCTGACAGATTTCTTAATTTTTTTTTCTTTGCACATTGTGTGGGAAACATGTTCCTTTTGTTTAGTGAAAGGAGTTATACAATATTGTTAATTTTTATAAATACTATCTGTAATCAGTTGTAAAGGGATGATCGCATGGCTCACATTTTTGTTTCATGTCTATTAGAAACTTGTGTAGTGAAATACTTGTTGGCAATTTTTCTCCTTTTCCCATTGCAGATATTTGAATTGTGGTACTTCCAAAAATATGGCACCTCTTTCATTGAGCAGGTTTCTGTGAGCCATTTGAGGCCACTCATTGGGGGAGTAGAAAGTAGTCCTCCAGTACAAGGTTTTTCAGCCAACAATGGAGAAAATGAGACAAACAGGCAGAATTTGTCAGGTAATTGCTTATAATGTTTCACTTTGCTGTAGGGCTGCCAGATGGTCTCCCAAAAAATACCGAACACCCGGTATTTTTTTGGTCGAGCAAAAAAAAATGGAACGCGGGATAATAAGCCCCCCCGCCGCCACCCTCCCTCGTTCTGGGGCACCCAGAGCAGCAATCGCAACCCTGCCTCCCAGCTGGGACTCCCAGGCTGGGAGGTGAGGCCACGATCGGC